AACAGCCCAGGCATGGGGGAAAAAAATAAAACATGAGAGCAGGGCCATAACTCAGTTTGCAAAAGTCTAATATAAATTGTAACAGTGAACACACAAAAAAGGAACTATGTTAGTTTGTTTCAAACCACTGAGACACATGTCTGACATTTAAAAAAAAAGTAAGGAAGGAAAGGATGATTTGTTTTTTCTCAGAGTTTCAGAGGTTTCTGTCCATCGTGGCAGGGACTGCATGGCATGATAAGCGAAAGAGCACAGAAATGAAAAAAAAAAAAAACTGTCTAAATTAGCTGGTCTTTTCTTTCCCACCCAGGGCCTCAAGCCCACAATGTGTTGCTGCTCATATTCACAGTGGGATTTTCCTCATGAACACACATGGAGACTTAACTGATCATCTAGACAATTCTCAATCAAACACACTAACAATCAAGAGTAGTCATCATAGGACCAGAGAACCATTGGGAATTAAAAGCTCCCAGGATTTCTAAATTAGCCATTTTGTTTATTCACCTAATACTTCACACTTTAATAGTAATGTTAATTTTTGTCTTTATTCCCGAGCCAGGTAGTAACTCCTAAACCCTATGAAACAGTCTGGTGGGCCATGTATTCACTTAAACAAATTCCCTGGTATTATAAGACTGTCTATACATGGAAATAGCAGATGGAAGGGTAATTTATTCTTAGTTATGGGTTTCCAATGATCACTTGTCAAAATAGGAGCTCGTGTCTGGCCCTTTTCATCTGTCTCTGCCTTAGGGCATTAGCCATTATGATACTCACTCCCAGAGCTAGGAAACACCACCAAGTCTCTGCCACATGAGGGTTGGGAGGGTAGGTTTTCAGCCGTCATCAAAGATCCCAATAATGAACAGGGCCTTATCTGCTCATCCATCTTGTTGTAAATCATGGATCAGACTTGGAGAGTGTCCAGCCCACCCAGAAATCCTGCGCTAACTAAAACCCCTCTCCTCTCTATTCTGAAGCAAGAGCACTGGATAATAAAAACGCAATCCCTTGCCAACTCGGACGCGACAGTTCTTATTCCAGATGAGCGCTTTGTTCCCGTCTGCCCAAGAAGTGGGGAAGATTATTCATTTAGCTCTAAATGAAATTTATTTTCTGAACTTGTTTCAGTTGGATTGCCTCATGCTTTATGCCCCATAATAAGTTTATATTCTGTTCTACTTGAATCAGCAAAACCTCGGGGGGCTTCTCTTGCAAGTTACAGGGAGCGCTGATTAGCAACTCCAAATGGAAGTATGCACAAGAATTTCAGAAAAGGAATCCAACCCCACAGAGCAAGATGTGACTCTGAGAGAAAGGTGAAGCAAGAACCTGAGCAGGAGCGCTGAACTGGGCACCCCTATCTTGTCTCAGCTCCAGTTTTCTTAGGGTGAAGGCTGCTGTCATAACCAAACACAACAGATGGAACAGCCTTTCAACCTTTTCATGGGTTCCTGGATTTAGACAGTCTTTCTTACCAGACAACAAGTGGATCTCATGTTCTCTCTCTTCTCTGTGTCAACACCCTCTAACCCAGGCACATGGAGCTGTTATTGTAGAAAACATCAATCTCAGAAAGAGATGAGCTAATGGTTGATGGCGTGTTTGTCAACACAAACTCAAGGGACTAGTCATGTAACTTAGTGGTAGAACACATGTCTATCATATATCAGGAATGGGTTTTGATCCTTAAAGCGGGGAAAAAGCAGAAACACAGTCCATGTATTGGATGTTAGATGGCTCAGTGCAGTTCCCACAGGTAACAGACACAGAAGTACAATAGAGCCTACTTACTCTAAAAGCTGTGATCTCCCACTTAACACTTGCAGCTCTCCTGTATGTATTCTTAAATTTCCTTTTTCTTACTTTCCCATTAAGAACTTTCCCCCAACTTAACACCTTATTGTTGCAGTTTTGAAAACAGTCACCAAGCACTGTACCACATTAAGTCTTTCCTTCATTTAGAGCCTACGAATTTCCATTGGTATTTTCTGTTCCACAGTTGCACCTAAGTGTGTCCAAGTGAGAGGCATTCTCATCTTCACTGTAGGAATTCAAGTCTTCAGACTTGTGGGAAATTCTCAGCCTGGGTTTTCAGGACATCACCGCGACTTCATGTTCCACTGTCTTTATGAAGCTGAGAATTTCTGATTTCTTCTTCCCTGTCTTTCTTTTGGGGCTCAAATCTATATAATGTCTTCAAATATGGCCTTTGTTTTTCTAAATAATTCAACCATCTCTAAATAGTTGACCAATACATCTACTGTGCTTTTATATCCAGGGCTGTGCTGTTTTCATTCTTAAAAGATGTCCTAGCTTTGTTTTCCAATATGATTGTTGGACTTTAAAGAATTTTAGTCTGTATGTATACTCTTTATTTTTTCTTCCATGGCCAATTTAAATATACATAATTTGAAGAATCTCTCAAATTAATTTATCCTGTCAATTTAGAGCACAGTATCCTTGATTATTGTTGTGATCTGTGGTTTTTCCTTCACTATGCATTATTCCATTGGGTTCAGAATACATTTTTATTATCAGCTTTTCTTCAGCAGTGGAATCCTAATGGCCGCTGCTTGAGAGGACTGCTAAAGAGTGATTGAGCAGTGCCTTCTTTGGGGTAGAACATTAGCTTTCCCCAAAATTTGTGTTTTCTTTCTTGTGTCCTGGCTTTGAGAATCCTTTTTGCTTCTCTAAGCTAGTCTGAAACCTTCCTCCTTCCACTTCCAATAATGGAGGCACTCTTACCAGCCTCAAGCTGGGGTTTTCTGCCAGCCTCTTCCTTGTCTTTGTTTCACAATGACATACTGCTCATCTCCACAGATGCCCACGTGTTACCTGGGTCTGTCTTCATGTCCTTACATTTCTCACAGGCTTACCCCTCAGACTGATATTGGATTTTGTTTTGTTTTCTATTCTGGCACAACTCATCTTATTTTTATTATGAGGTGAGTTATCTTCTTGAACCACAACTTTTTAAAAGTTTATTTTAAAATGTCAGAAAAGTTGAAAAACTAGTTCAAAAATTGCTATACATTTTTCATGTAGAGTCCCTAAATTTCAACATTTTACCATTATCTCTCTGTCTGTCTCTGTCTCTCTTTGTCTCTCTCCTCTGGGTGTGTGTCTCCTTCTCTCCCCACCTCTCTCAGTATTAAGTTGTCATACCTTATTCCATGTTTTTTCTCTTACTATAGAAAAACCATAATAAACATTAACTTGGTTTCCCATGGTGAGAAGCCAGACTCTGTGGTTGAAATGGGAAATGAGAAGTGAGATCTATGTTCAGTATTTTAATTTTTTTATTCATTTGGCCTTCAGAATATTAGAAAAATGTTGAAGAGATAAGCTAAGACTTAAAGCAAAGACCTTCTAAAGCTCACATCATTATGAGATCTATGGAATTTAAGATACTAGATGACATACTTTCCTTTAAAACACACATCTTAGTCCATCATCTACTCCCACACACACCAAGCCTTGCTTGAGGATTGCATCCTTCAGCCCTCTGACATCAGTCACTTAAGGTAGGGACCCTATACATACACCACTAACTCTGGCCACCCCTGAGACCTGTGTGAGGACCATATGTCCCATACTTGCCCTCTAGCTCCCTCTTTAGGTAAAGATCTAGGAATACTATCACCATGTCCACCCTCACCAGAAGTCTGCTTTCTACTCTTCCACATCCAGGTAGACCCTAAATGTATACTGCCAATTCTTCCTACTCCTGTGGCACACCCTTTCCCTCCTCCAAGTAAGGACCTAGATTCTCTCCACCTACCCCCACAACCGATCTGGGGATTGCATGCCACATGCCAGCCTTCCTCCAGTCCCTCTCTCTAGGCAGGGTTTTGTGCTTCTAACCTTGCCATCCTTGTGGTCTGCCTAAGGATTGCATGTCCTTTGCCCACCTGCTAGTTCCCCCACTTCAGATAGTGATCCCAGGCTCACATTGCCAACCCCATGTAATACCACAGGCTGTCTGAGGGCTGTGTGTCCCCTCACTAACTGCCCACCTTCCCAGGTAGGGATCACAGACTCCACCACATCTCCACCCAGACTGCAGTCTGAGGACAAGTTCTGAGTACCTCCTCCAGACTCCTGGGGATTGTTTACAAAAAACTTCGAACTCTACAGAAGGTCTGCTCCTGGGCTTAGAAACTTCAACTATCCTGGACTGAGCTGGGACCACTTCTGTTGTCTCATTAAAACATCAACACTGACTTACCCCAGGACTGAATCATAAGCCCCATTCACCTGATCTACAACCTGATGAATTGGGATATGATGAAATAAAGATCCAAATACCCACTCGGCAAAGAAAGGCAAGATTTCTATAACAAGAAACTCCTATCAAGCGCCAAACTCCAAATGCCTAGGTCCCACTGCAAAAGCACAAACATGAAGAAAATTAATCTTTGTGAAAAATTAGTACTCCCAAAGTAACATTTCCTTAATAAAGCAACTTTAGATGATACATAAAACAATGATTTCAAAAAAGCAATAAAAACAATCAAATGAATAAAAGAGTGTGTGAACACATGCCAATTGAAGACCACAAAAATACAGTTTAATGAAATAATAAAAACAATTCAACATATGAAAATAGAATGTAATGAAGATATAGAATCTCTGAGTAAAAGGCAAAATGAAATAAAACTAAAATTGAAAAGTTCAAGAATTCAAACAAAAACACTCAGGCAAGCTTCACTAAATAGAAGAGAGAATATCAGGTCTAGAAGACAAGATAGAGTAATTGTATCATTCAATAGAAGAAAATGTTAAATAAATTTTTAAAAACTTATGAATTGAACATGTGGGAACTATCAGAACTAGAGAAAGACTAAACCTCTATATAGAAGGAGGGAAAGAAATGAAGCTCAAAGGCACAGAAAATATTTCAACAAAATCATAGGGAAAAAATTCTTGATCTAAAGAAAGAGGTATCTATCATGGTCCAAGAGGAATATGGGAACACCAAATAAACAGGACTAAAAAAAGTACTTCATGTCATATAATAATCAGAATACCTTGCGCAGGGGCCATGCTAATCTTCTCTGTATCGTTCCAATTTTAGTATATGTGCTGCCAAAGCAAGCATCCCTAATCATCAGGGAAATGCAAATCAAAACAACTCTGAGATACCACCTTACACCGGTCAGAATGGCTAAGATCAAAAACACTGAAGACACCTTATGCTGGAGAGGATGTGGAGCTAGGGGAACTCTCCTCCACTGCTGGTGGGAATGTAAGCTTGTACAACCACTTTGGAAATCAATATGGCGCTTTCTTAGAAAATTGGGAATCAATCTCCCCCAAGATCCAGCTATACCACTCTTGGGCATATACCCAAGGAATGCTCAACCACACCATAAGAACACTTGTTCAGCTATGTTCATATCAGCATTGTTTGTAATAGCCAGAACATGGAAACAACCTAGATGCCCTTCAACTGAAGAATGGATAAACAAAATGTGGTACATATACACAATGGAATACTACTCAGCAGAGAAAAACAATGGCATCATGAGGTTTGCAGACAAATGGATGGATCTAGAAAAAATCATCCTGAGTGAGGTAACCCAGACTCAGAAAGACAAACATGGTATGTACTCACTCATAGCAGGATACTAGATGTGGAACAAGGATGACTGGACTGCTACTCACATCACCAGGGAGACTACCTGGAAAATAGGACCCCAAGAAAGACACGGGGATTGCCCAATGACAGAGAAATGGAATGAGATCTACATGAACAGCCTGGACATGAGTGGGGATAGTGAAGGGCGAGGGTCGAGGGAAAGAGAGCTTGGGGGAGTGGGAGATCCCAGCTGCATCAACAACAGAGAGGGAGAACAAGGAATAGGAGACCATGGTAAATGAAGACCACATGAGAATAGGAAGAAGCAAAATGCTAGAGAGGCCCACAGAAATCCACAAAGATACCCCCACAACAGACTGCTGGCAATGGTCGAGATACAGCCCGAACTGACCTACTCTGGTGATGGGATGGCCAAACACCCTAATTGTCGTGCTAGAAACCCCATCCAACTACTGAGGGATCTGGATGAAGAGATCCATGGCTAGGCCCCGGGTGGAGCTCTGGGAGTCCAATTAGTGAGAATGAGTAGGGTTTATATGAGCGAGAATTGTTGAGACCAAGGTTGGATAAAGCACAGGGACAAATAGCCAAACGAATTGAAACACATGAACTATGAACCAATGGCTGAGGGGTCACCAACTGGATCAGGCCCTCTGAATGGGTGAGACAGTTGATTGGCTTGATATGTTTGGGAGGCATCCAGGCAGTGGGACCAGGTCCTGTGCTCATTGCATGAGTTGGCTGTTTGAAACCTGGGGCCTATGCAGGATCGCTTGACTCGGCCTGGAAGGAGGGGACTGGACCTACCTGGACTGAGTCTACCAGGTTGATCTCAGTCCACGGGGAAGGCTTTGCCCTGGAGGTGGGAATTGGGGGTGGGCTGGGGGGAAGGTGAGGGGGGCAGGAGCGGGGAGAACAAGGGGATCCGTGGCTGATATGTAGAACTGAATTGTATTGCAAAATAAAAATTAAAAAAAAAATAATCAGAATACCAAATGCACAAAAACAAAGAAAAGATATTGAAAGCTACAAAGAGAAGTATCAGCTCATATATATGGCAGACCCATAAGAATAATACCAAGCTTTCAAAGGAGACTATAAAAGCCAGAATAGCTTAGACTGATGTTCTATGAGTTATAAAAGACCACAGATGCCAGTATAGAGTACTATACCCTGCAAAACTGTCAGTCATAATCAAAGGAGAACATAAAACTTTCCATGATAAAAAGAGATTTAAAGAGTTCATGACCACTAAATCAGCTCTATAAAGAATACTAGAAAGAATACTAAAGTCTGAAAAAAAGTTAAATGTACTCAAGAGGGCACAAGGAATAAATAAATAATTCTAGAACATTTAATATAAAAATTCCTAATAAATTAGCACCACAAAATAACCAAATTATAAGAAATAATATGCAAAATTAGTGCTCAATCTCTCTAATAAACATGAGTACAAAAACATCTCAATAAAATATTTGCAAACTCAATTCAAGAACACATCAAAAAGATTATTCATCATTTTTCCAGAGTGTTTGAGATGGTTCAAATGTGCAAACAAATAAACATAATTTACCACATAAATAGGGTAAAAGACACAGACTACCTTCACCTCATTAGATACCAAAAAAGCTCTTGACAAAATCTAATATCCTTCTGGATAAAAGTCCTGGATAGCCTAGAGATATGGGTGACATATCTCAATATAATAAAGATAATATACAGCAAGTCTATAGCCAATATCACACTTAACTAAGAAAATCCCAAAGCATATCTACAACAATCAGGAACAAGAAAAAGATGTCCACTCTCCCCCATTAAATACAGATCTGAAGTCTTAGCTAGAGCAGTAGGACAAGTGAAGGAAATAAAGTGGGTACAAATAGTAATGGAATAAGTCCATTTGCATTTGGCACTATTTAATACATAAAAATCCTAATGACTCTACCATAAAATTCCTGCAGCTGATAAATGAATTAAGAAAAGTTCAGGATACACAGTTAACACACAAAAGTCAGTAACTTTCCTATATACAAATCACAAATATACTGAGGAAAAAAATCAAGGGAAAAATACCCTTTACAATAGCCTCAGAAAATTAAATATCTAATAATAAATCTACCCAAGGAACTAACAAGATTTATTCATGAATTGATAGGATTAATACTGTGTGTGTGTGTGTGTGTATTCCAAAAAACAATATACAGATTCAATACAATCCCAACCACATTTCAGCATAATTCTTCAGAAACTGAAAATGTAATCTTGAATTTTGTCAAGAAACACAAAAGATGTAGAATACCCCCACAAAATCCTGAACAATTAAAAATGAAACTACTAAAGGCATCACTATACCAGATTTCAAGTTATACTACAGAGTCATGGTAATAAAAACAGCACGGTACTTCTATAAAAATAGTCATCAATCAATAGAATAGAACTCTGAGCCTACTATAAGCCTACACTCCTACAGCCACTTACTTGGTCTTTGACAAACACTAAACATTGTTGAAAAGACAGTATCAGTAAGAGATTACTGATCAAGCTGGAAAGCTACACGTAGAAAAAAAAGTGGACTGTTATCTCTCACCTTGCACAAAATTCAACTCCACATGCATCATGGATCTTAGCATAGTACCCCAAACCTTAATCCTGACAAAGAAGAATGTAAAGAGTACACTTGAACTTATGAGCACAGGAAAGGATATTCTGAACAGGATCTTGACAGCATAGATATAAAGACCAGCAACTGCCAACCGGGGACACATGAAACTAAAAGGATTCTGTACAGCAAAGGATACCATCATCTGAGTGAAGAGACAGCCTACAGCATGAGAAAAGAACTTTACTAGCTGTGTATCTGACAGAGGGCTAGTATCTAGAATATAAAATCAGTTCAAAATAATGACATCAAGAAAACAAACAACCCAATTATTAAAAATGAGACATAGAACTAGAGTTTCCAAAGGATGAAATACAAATGACTAAAAACATCTTTGAAAAAGTTAAACATCCTTAGCCATCAGGAAAATGCAAATTAAAACTAATTTGCAATTTCATTTTACCCCATTAAGAATGACTAAGATTTTTAAAAAATGATGACAAATGCTAATGTGGATGTTAGGAAGAGGGAATATTTATTCACTGCTGGTGGGAGTGCAAACTGGTCCAGCCATTATGGAAATTAGTGTGGAGTTTCTTTAAAAAGCTAGAGATAGGTCTATAAAGCTAGAATTTATCTACCATGTGATCCAACCATACCACTCTTTGGAATATACTCAAAAGACTCTTCATCTTACAATAGAGACACTTGCTCATCTTATGACCATTGCAGCTCTATTTACAATATCCAAAAAAAAATAAACAGCCTAGCTACCCATAATAGATGAACAGTTAATAAAAATGTGGTACATTTACACAATGGAATACTATTCAGCTGTTAAGAAAAATGAAATTATGAAATTCACAGGTAAGTGGACAGAGCTGGAAACAATCATTTGGAGTAAGGTAGCCCAGACCAGGAAGGACAAGCATTACATGTTTTCTCATATTTATAGATATTAGTTTTGAATCTTTAGATATGTGTATTTTATCTGATTACCCACAGAGTTCAGGAAATTGGTAAGGAGCCACAATGAGGGGCGGGGCTTCAACAGAGGGAAGGTGGAGAACAGTGACATGAAGGAAGAATGGGGAATAATGAAACAAGAAGGGTTAAATAGAGTGGCATGGGAGGACAGAGTGAAAGAGGAAATACCTCCCTGGAAACATTTTTTAAAAAACTACTACTCTAGAAGTTTCCAGAAATACAAACATAAACATTTGTTAAAAGAGCTTAAATTGAGTTTCCCTATAATAAGGCAACAATGCTCCTAATACATATTCCACAGAATAACAAATACAAAGCCTAGCGTCAAAAATGCTTTACAGGGCCGGGCGGTGGTGGCGCACGCCTTTAATCCCAGCACTTGGGAGGCAGAGCCAGGCGGATCTCTGTGAGTTCGAGGCCAGCCTGGGCTACCAAGTGAGTCCCAGGAAAGGCGCAAAGCTACACAGAGAAACCCTGTCTCGAAAAAAAACCAAAAAAAAAAAATGCTTTACAGTTATGAGAGTTGTTGGCTTGTAGATCTCATATCACAGGCTGTTGCAATTGCTCTTGGTTACTCTCCAGAACTTGTCAGTAAGACTCTTTCACAGACTTAGAAAATGTGGAGGAGAATCAAGCTGGTACTGACCTGAAATCTTCATCTGTATTGTCTAGTGTGGTGATATTTTATTTGTGCTGAAATGTGATATTTCATTTGTATGTTAATAAATAAAGTTGCCTGAAGATCAGTGGTCAAATAGCCATAAATAGAAGTCAGATGGTGGCAGCCCATGCCCTTAATCCGATCACATGGCAGGCAGAGTTTCTGTGTGGTCAAGGACACAGCCAAGTGTGGTGACAGGAGCCTTTAATCCCAGTACCAACCACAGAGACCTGGAGGTCTGTACAGAC